TCCACACCCCTACACCCTCTGGGTGAAGAAGTGCTTTCTTAAATCTACTGTACACCTCTTGCCTTTCATTTTAAAATTACACCCCCTTGTTGACCCTTTAACTAAGGAGAACAGCTGTTTTCTACTCACCCTGACCATGCCCCCCATGATCTTATTGGCCTCTATTAGGTCGCCCTCAACCTTCTGTGCTACAAAGGTAATAACCCAAGCTTATCCAGCCTCTCTTCATGGCTTTAATGCTCCATCCCAGGCAACATCTTGGTGAATCTCCTTTGCATCCCCTCCAGTACAGTCATATCCTTCCGATAGTGTGCTGACCTGGACTGCATACAGGACGCTAGCTGAAAGTTCTGTACAGCTCCATGAACTCTCTGCACATACAATCTACACCACGACTGATAAAGGAAAGCATCCCATATGCCTTCTTAACTACCCTATTAACCTGTCCTAACACCTTCAGGGATCTGTGGACAAGCAGCTTATGATCCCTCTAAAAGGACTAATATTTAAACAATAAAAGCTTACAGCACGTTACTGTGCAGGGGGTCCTGGGTGTCCTTGTGCATGAACGCAGAAGGTTGGTTTGCAGGTGCAACAGGTAATGAAGAAGACAAATGGAATTTTGTCCCTCACTGTTAGAGGGATTTGGTTAAATGAAATGTTAGGGTGCTGGTGAGGCCACATCTGGAGTACTGCTTGCAGTTTGAGTCACCCTACTTGAGAAAGCATGTACTGGCACTGGAGGGGGTGCAGAGGGGATTCACAAGGTTGATTCCAGATTTGAGAGGATTAGTTTATGAGGAGAGACTGAGTAGACTGGGATTATATTCATTGGAATTGAGAAGAATGGGGGGCGGGATCTTATAGAAACATATAAAATTATGAAGGGAATAGATAAGATAGGTTAGTTTCCACTGACAGATGAAACTAGAACAAGATGTCATAGCCTCAAAATTATGGGGAACAGATTTAGGATTGAATTGGGGAGGAACTTCTTCACACAAAGAGTTGTGAATCTGTGGAATTTCCTGCCCTGTGAAGTAGTTGAGGCTTCCTCATTGAATCCGAGACAACAAGGTGCAGGGCTGGATGAACACAGCAGGCCAAGCAGCATCATAGGAGCAGAAAGGCTTTTCAGAGATATTAGGAACTGCAGATGCTGAAGAATCCGAGACAACAAGGTGCAGGGCTGGATGAACACAGCAGGCCAAGCAGCATCATAGGAGCAGAAAGGCTTTTCAGAGATAGTAGGAACTGCAGATGCTGAAGAATCCGAGACAACAAGGTGCAGGGCT